GCGGGGCTCCGCATCCCTGCCGCTACCTACTCCCACGCGCACGTGTAGCACCACGAGGGAGACGTAGTTTGGCAGGTCGTGGGTAACATGGCACTGCAGAACAGGAGAGGAGCTATCGCAGTGCTGCAGCGTATGCATGCGTGAAAGGCCGGTGTAAGCAGGGAGACAAACCAGTGAGTCTCGCATATTCTAAATTAATTTTGACAAACGTACCTCTTGCAGAGGGTGGCTGAAGGGAGTCTGTTGGAGATGCAGATCTCCCGTAGTGCGAGCTTGTGCTGTGGTACCCTGCTTTCTATCCGCTCCTCGGTTTGACTTGGAGGCACAATTTTCCATTTACTAAGATGTTTCATGAATAATCAAAAGGCTGTTTTTCGGGGCATCTTTCCTCATTTTTGTCCAGTGCTTTAGGAGCTACACAGAGGATTTGGAAGAATGTGTGAATGCAGTAACCTGAAAAGCAGCAGCCCGTATACCATCTTGGAGGAAGAAAGAGGTTTTCAGGCAGCCACCTTCTGAGCTTCCAGCCGCAATGGAGCAGACCTTCATTAGCAGCTTGACCCCTCGTCACCTGTCAGCACGAAGGACGGGCATATTGTATTAGCAAACCTCTCTCCTTCTTTCTATGACGACTCTGTAACACCACCTGCCATTGCATATCCTCCTATTATACCAGTTTAGGAGTTGTGCACTGAAGATTTTTGGCATATATTAGCACTTCCATGTGATTGGCAGTATACCACTGAATTCATTGCGGCTCCGCATCTATATGGGTGTAGCTCCCTAATTCAGGGCAGCGTTTCTCAGGGTTTATCTGTGTTTCGACCCAGCTCCTGCCTTTATAAGTCCATTACCTTTCTGCCGGTTTCAAGCAGGGAAAGGGAAGGGTGAGCACACTGGTGAAACAACGGTCGGAAACATTAGCTAGAACTGATATTAATAAAACTATTTTCTTAGCACTAAAAGGAGAAGGTGTAGTATGGAAAGTTGCATGCGCTGTATCACCCAGCTGCGAGTAAAACAGTGAACTGCTTGCATTTTGCTTCATAAATTATTTTATTAGAATAATTTCCTTGCAGAGAGTGTGTGCGTGACGGCTCTGTGAAAGCCCAAATAACCGAACTAGCTCACGGTTAAGCAACAGGAAAACTAAACGGCCGTGGGATTTGAGCGCGTTGAAATACGCATTCTGACAAGGCAGCCCGGTTCTAGTCTTCTCTAGATGTGAGTTAGCAAAGTTTCAGCCTGGCTTCAGCCGATTATACGCTGGTCTTGGGTTTATTATGCAATGATCCAGGCTGCATTAAGCATCAGCGGAATTTGAAGCCGGCTGCTGGTGTCGCCTGGAAAGAGACGCAATCTGTAAAATACCTGAAGTCCAAACCGCTCAGGGGAAAATACTAAGAAAAATGAAAGGAGCAAGCTCCTCCCCGGGCAAAACACCGGTGCTTTTCAAAACTCAGAAGCTTGCCCAGGAGGGCAGCGGAGC